TTTTGCTGGTCGTTCGGTAGAGGCCAATCTTCTGGAATATACTAATTACATTTTGCATTCTTTCGATGACAACTGCCAGGTGGATTCTGTTTATACTGATTTTAGTAAAGCTTTTGATAAAGTTGATCATCGGCTCTTACTACAAAAAATTGAACATGTTGGTTTACCCTACAGCATTCAACAGTGGCTTGCTTCCTACTTGGCTGATAGAACGCAGTCGGTTACAGTTAGAGGTTTTTCCTCGCAGACGGTGTCAGTCTCATCCGGCGTACCTCAGGGAAGCATTCTTGGACCTCTGCTTTTTAATATTTATATTAATGACATATTTAAGTGTTTTAAACACGCTAACTGTTTAATGTATGCAGATGATCTAAAGATCTTCTGCCGCGTGTCAAATCCTAGAGATTGTTCTGCTCTTCAGCGTGATCTATACGAACTTGCTCAATATTGTTGCACAAACTTCATCACCATGAATTATAGTAAATGCTTTACAATTACTTTTACAAAAAAGCCTGGTCCCATACGCTTTGACTACATCATTGGAGGGAAGTTGTTGAACAGGGTTACTTCTATAAGAGATTTGGGCGTGACGTTTGATAGTAAGCTATTATTCAGTGAGCACGTCGATTCGGTGGTTAGCAAGGCTTTTCGTATGCTTGGTTTTGTCATGAGATCGGCTGCTGATTTTACCGACACTAATTCATTAATGACTCTCTATTATACGTATGTATTTAACATTTTGAATTATTGCACTGTTGTATGGAATCCACAATATAATATATTTGTGGAACGACTAGAGCGTGTCCAAAAGAGATTCGTTCGTTTTTTATGCTGGAAATCTCATACTACCTATGCTGACTACAACTCGGCGTGCCAATCTTTCCACTTGTTACGACTCGGCCAACGGCGACTTGCTAATGATATAATACTTTTATATAAACTAATTCATAATATTTATAAATCATCCTCGCTTACATCACTGATTAACTTCCACGTCCCGCCCAGATCGCTTCGTTTTTGATTTTCTGTTCTTTACTACAACTCCGCTCACTAACTCCTATCAGCATTCGCCATTGCTGCGCTCTGCTCGCTCTGCTGACCGTCTTGCCATTGATATATTTGCGTACGATTCCTTAATCTCCTTTAAAAGAGCGCCTCTTGCTGCTGTTGGGAACATGCCGTATATAGATTAATTTATATAGATTGATTTATACTTACAATTAGTTCTTGTCCTTTCACGTGCTGATTGTTAGATACCTCGGTTTTTTTCTTTTTTTTTTCTGTTATTTTTGTTAAATTACTTATGCAATTTGAGATACTGATTTAAGTTTTTTTGTGTCCTTTTTTTCTTTCTTATTGTATTTTTTTAGTGGCACAGCTTGAATTGGGTTTGTCCTGTGCTGTGTCCCGTGAGCGTAAATAAATAAATAAACACTATACCTAGAACTAGAATCATTTGGGTTTAGCCGCACGTCTCCAAAGACGGCTAAACCTGAATGATTCTAGTTCTAGGTCTAGTGTTCTAGTTTTCCACTGTTACCATGTAGAACTAACACTATACCTAGAACTAGAATCATTTGGGTTTAGCCGCACGTCTCTAAAGACGGCTAAACCTGAATGATTCTAGTTCTAAGTATAGTGTTCTAGTTTTCCACTTGCACTGTCACTAGAACTAGAATCGTTTGGGTTTAGCCGCACGTCTCTAAAGACGGCTAAACCCAAATGATTCTAGTTCTAGCTATAGTATTAGTTCTAGTTTTACAGTAGCACTATTATTATGTAGAACTAATACTATACCTAGATCTAGAATCATTTGGGTTTAGCCATACGTCTCTAAAGACGGCTAAACCCGAATGATTCTAGTTCTAGGTATAGTGTTCTAGGTTTCCACTTGCACTGTCACTAGAACTACAAACATTCGGGTTTAGCCGTGTGTCTCATAAGACGGCTAAAGCCGAATAGTTCTAGTTCTTGGTCTAGTGTTAGTTCTAGTTTTACATTAGCACTGTTACCATGTAGAACTAACACTATACCTAGAACTAGAATCATTTGGGTTTAGCCGCACGTCTCTAAAGACGGCTAAGCCTGAATGATTCTAGTTCTAGGTATAGTGTTCTAGTTTTCCACTTGCACTGTCACTAGAACTAGAATCGTTTGGGTTTAGCCGCACGTCTTTAAAGACGGCTGAATCCGAATGATTCTAGCTCTAGATATAGTGTTAGTTCTAATTTTACTCTTGCACTGTTATTATGTAGAACTAACACTATACCTAGAACTAGAATCATTTGGGTTTAGCCGTCTTTAGAGACGTGCGGCTAAACCCAAACGATTCTAATTCTAGGTACAGTATTAGTTCTACTTAATAATAGTGCTACTATAAAACTAGAACTAACACTATACCTAGAACTAGAATCATTCGGGTTTAGCCGTCTTTAGAGACGTGCGGCTAAACCCAAATGATTCTAGTTCTAGGTATAATGTTAGTTCTACATAGTAACAGTGCTAGTGTAAAACTAGAACTAACACTATAGCTAGAACTAAAATCATTCGGGTTCAGCCGTCTTTAGAGACGTGCGGCTAAACCCAAATGATTCTAGATCTAGGTATAGTACTAGTTCTACATAATAACAGTGCAAGAGTAAAATTAGAACTAACACTATATCTAGAGCTAGAATCATTCGGGTTCAGCCGTCTTTAAAGACGTGCGGCTAAACCCAAACGATTCTAATTCTAGGTACAGTATTAGTTCTACATAATAATAGTACTATTGTAAAACTAGAACTAACACTATACCTAGAACTAGAATCATTCGGGTTTAGCCGTCTTTAGAGACGTGCGGCTAAACCAAAATGATTCTAGTTCTAGGTATAGTATTAGTTCTACATAATAATAGTGCTACTGTAAAACTAGAACTAACACTATACCTAAAACTAAAAACATTCAACACATTCAAGACGCATGTCTCTAAAGACGGCTAAATCCGAAAGTTTCTAGTTTTAGGTCTAATGTTAGTTCTAGTGATGGTGCTAGTTCTAGTTTTATTTTAATATTTAATCTATTTGATCTATTTGAAACTTTTAAGGCTATAAAGAACGTCAGTCGATAAAATCAATTAAATTGAAATTGACATTAATGTCAATACAAAATATTTAACGAAATACTTAAAAATAAATGGCAAAAATAGAAGATAATGTAAAATATCCCGCCGATGTAAAAGCACCAGCAGATTTTATCCTGGTCTATAAAAAGAACAAATCGGACGCTACTTTATTTCAAAACTCGGAGTTCTTTAAAAATTTGAAACAAGCAGGTTTGATCCTTGAACCCGTCGATGGAGTCAAATATACCGATTGTGTTTTTGTGAAAATAACCGCATCCGATGCGTCTTTAGAGCATTTAGCAACTGTTCACGGTTTATACGCAACGTATCATCGTGATAGATCAATTCCACAGTACTCGAAAATGTTTAGTATTTTTAAGAGTAAGATCTCCTTAAAACCAAAGTTTGATGATCCAATGTTTCTAAGATGCAGGTTACTGATTTTAAAACATCGATTTTTAATAAAATAAATATTTCAAATTCTTTTTTAGCAATTCTGTTCGAGGACAAGAAAACACGACTTTTACAAGCGCAGAAAGGATCACATTAATTAGTTACGTTTTAGACAGAACGAAATATGGTGGACTGCAAGATGAATATGGTTTAGGGAATTTATTAGCTACCAAAAATTTTGACGACGCCTTTCCGTTACATGATGGCCCGGCAAAGTGGAGCGAGACTGGAATATTAAACGACAGACAAGTTAATTTCTTTTAAATTTTCTTTTTAATTTAAACGAATGTTGAGAAATACTTTTATGTTTTTTTAACAAAAAAGATTTTAGCTAAATACTGGGGAAATTGGATAAGGTTTTATCAGTTCCAACCGATACATATTATCTATAAATATTATGGATCGGACATCGCCTTCTTTTTTGCTTGGTTGGAATTTTTTTCGAAATTGTTGGTTATTCCGACTTTTCTTGGATTATTTGCGTTTGGATGGGCTTATGTTGATTTAAATATAGCTGACAGAACTATTAAAAGGGTGTAAGTATGACAATAATAAGTAAAAACTGTAATTTAACAATTTAACTTTGCACAAGAATTTCTTAGCTCTCTCAGCTTTTTCTATTACACCTACGTTAGATTCTTTCTGCAAACTTTTGTGGACGTTTTGTTTATTTCGATTTTTGACATTCTTCTTGCTATACTTTTGCAACGATATCACCTACACGACTTTCTTACTACTGGTATTCTAGAATGATCCCGACATAGACAGCTACGTAGCTTACCACTTTAAGAACTTTGTAACATAAAGGATCTTCATTTCTGATTGGAACGAGATTTAAAGTAAGACATAACACTAGATACTGGTGACAGAAGGCTAACAAAATAATAAATCTATATTTAGAAGACAACTTATTGCTTGCGGAGGTGGGTAATGTTGATAGAAGATTAAATATTGTTGACAGAAGACAAAATACTGCTGGTAGAAGTCTAAACATTGCCAATAACACTAGATGTTGCTATGCACAATGCAATGATCCTTTTGCCATTCCGAAAATGAATACAGAGAGCTTCATGAATACTTTAAGTTGAAATCATATGCACCTGAAAACTCTTGATAAATTTTGCACATTACATTTTATGGAGAATTAATGAAACAATTAAAAGATTTGTTGACAAGGCAAAATACTGCTGGCTAAAGTCTTAATTTTGCCAACATAAGACTAGGTACTGGTGACAGAAGGCTAGATACGGCTAACAAAATAATAAATCCATTTTTAGAAGACTACTTATTGCTTCCGGAGGTAGGTAATGTTGATAGAAGATTAAATATTGTTGGTGGAACACAAAATATATTGCCAATATAAGACTAAATATTGGTGACAGAATGCAATTTTCTTCATTATTCCTTTAATTCTTGTTATTCTTCTGCTTTATTTATTGCAGAGCTTTCATTTTTCTTCAATATGCAGATAGGTGTCCTTTTTTGATAGTTCATGTTGGTGAAAATGTTGGAGAAGTGCGGAGTCTCAATTTATAAAGGCAAAAGTCTTAAAGATAATGTTTCTTTCAATTCGCGCTGATAATGACTGTGGGATTGAGCGATCTTAAAGAAATCACCATGAATTTGTTCAGATTGATGTTGATTGCTCGGGTAATCGCTATTTAACACTTCCATAATGCAGTGATTCTTTTGCCAGTACGAAAATGAATACAGAGAGCTTCATGAATACTTTAAGTTAAAATCATAAGTAGTTGAAAACTCGTGATATATTTTGCACATTACATTTTATGGAGCATTAATGAAATTATGCGAAAATTTGTTGACAAGACAAAATACTGCTGGTAGAAGTCTTAATTTTGCCAACATAAGACTAGGTACTGGTGACAAAAGGCTAGATACGGCTAACAAAATAATAAATCTGTTTTTAGAAGACTACTTATCGCTTGCGGAGGTAGGTAATATTGATAGAATATAATTGATTATATAATTGATATTGTTGACAGAAGACAAAATACTGCTGGTAGAAGTCTGAACACTGCCAATATAAGAGTAGATGTTGCTGACAGAATGCAATTTTCTTCATTGTTCCTTTCATTCTTGTTATTCTTCTGCTTTATCCATTGCTGAGCTTTCATTTTTCTTCAATACGCAGATAGGTGCCCTTTTTTGATAGTTCATGTTGGTGCTGCCTAGTCTAAATAGCTTTATTGAAGAAGTGCGGAGTCTCAATTTATAAAGGCAAAAGTCTTAAAGATAATGTTTCTTTCAATTCGCGGTGATAATGACTGTGGGGTTGAGCGATCTTAAAGACATCACCATGAATTTGTTCAGATCGGTTTTGATTGCTCGGATAATCGCTTTTGAACACTTCCATAATGCAGTGATCCTTTTGCGAGTCCGAAAATGAATACAAAGCACTTCATGAATACTTTAAGTTGAAATCCTATGTAGTTGAAAACTCTTGATATATTTTGCACATTACTTTATACATTACATTTTATGGAGAATTAATGAAGTAATTTGAAAATTTGTTGACAAGATAAAATACTGCTGGCTGAAGTCTTAATTTTGACAACATAAGACTAGATGCTGATGACAGAAGGCTAGATACGGCTAACAAAATAATAAATCTGTTTTTAGAAGACTACTTATTGCTTGCGGAGGTAGGTGCTGTTGATAGAAGATTAAATATGTTTGGCAGAAGATAAAATACTGCTGGTAGAAGTCTAAATATTGCCAATATAAGAATAGATAATGATGACAGAATGCAATTTTCTTCATTGTTCCTTTCATTCTTGTTATTCTCCCACTTTATTTACAGAGAGCTTCATATTTTATACACAGTGCCGGCGCTAGCAAATGAAGCGCCAGGGTGCGGGAACCGGAGTGCCCCCCTCCCAAGCATTTTGGGCGGAATGTGGGGGGGAGCGCCCAAAATGTGGAGAAAAATTTAAAAATATATAATCAAAGAAATATAAATAAACTTAAAAAAGACTGGAATAATCATAATCCATACTTCAGCAAAAATTTAAGAATTGTACTTATGAAAAACCAAACTTAAGGCAATAGTCGGGAATACTCTGGTCAGAAGGTTAATTTTCAAGAAAAAGTCTGTAATTGCAATAGTTACAAACTAGACTTCAGCAAAAAACAGGAATTACATTGTTCAAAGTCTACATCAAGTCTGAAATTACTGTTCAGAGAAAACAAAAATTGATTATAAACCAAACATGATTTTTCATGGCAATACTTATGTGTTCAATAAAAGAATGCGAAGAATATGAACAAGAAACCAATGGACTTGTCTTGTTATTGCACAGGACAGGAAATCACCAATACAGAAACTTTGCCAATGCAGGATAACCACAAAAGCAAAGTAGCAGTTGCGGAAATCAGGTACCGAGTGGTACAAAATCCGTATAGATAATAAGAGGGCCCCAAAAAGATCTACTGCTTCTAAAAAACTAAATACTGCTTTCTGAAGACTAGATACTGCTCTGGAAGATTAAATACTGCTTTCTGAGGACTAGATACTGCCGACAGGTCTAAATACAGCATCTGGAACACTTAATACTGCTTTCTAAAGACTAAAATTGCTTTGTGGAGACTAAATATTGCTTTCTGAAGACTAGATACTGCTGACAGGTCTAAGTACTGCAAAAGAAAGATAAGATATTGTTGGAGAAAACATACATAACGTTGGCAGAAGACTAGATACTGCTTCTAGAAGACTAAATACTGCTTTCTGAAGACTAGATACTTCCGACAGGTCTAAATACAGCGTCTGGAACACTAAATACTGCCTTCTAAACACTAAAATTGCTTTGTGGTGACTAAATACTGCTTTCTGAAGACTAGATATTGCTAACAGGTCTAAATACTGCAAAAGAAAGATAAAATATATTGGAGAAAATATACATAACTTTGGCAGAAGACTAGATACTGCTTCTAGAAGACTAAATACTGCTTTCTGAAGACTAAATACTGCCGACAGGTCTAAATACAGCGTCTGGAACATTAAATACTGCTTTCTAAAGACTAAATACTGCTTTCTGAAGAGTAGCTACTGCTGACAGGTCTAAATACTGCAAAAGAAAGATAAGATATTGTTGGAGAAAACATTAAACAGGCGCCGGCGCCCCCTTTTAGGCGGCGCCCGGGTGCAGTGCACCCCTTGCACCCCCCGGTAGCGCCGCCTCTGTTTATACATTACTTCACCTATGTTTTATACATAACATTTTATAAAGATTTAATTTTATATAAACAATTAATTATATTACAACAGAAAAGAAGTTTGTTCTTCGACAGTACAAATCTGTCCACCTTGTACTCATCAGCACTGCGTCTACGCAAATCTGAGTGATTATTGTGGATTAGCTATGACAACTTATTACGTCGATAACAACTACACAGTATTTTTAGCTATTGCAGTAACGATATGGGGTTAGTTATTTGTACCTATATTTCTAGAATGTACAATATTGTTTGATTTTGTTTTTGTAGCAACGATTTTCTTGGAACTGTGGAGTCGCCAGGAAATCATCTGGCAATACAAATGGAATTTAAACAAATCTATTCCACATATCGATGAAATGTAAAAAAATACGAATTAATTTAATTTATTCTAAATTGTTTATTTTTTAGGGCTAATTATAAAGTACGCGTTCATAACTACTTAAAATATAATAAACACACTAAAACTGAAACGCATTATACCCCGTTTTACATGAAATCGGAACGAATTCTAATTTCAATTCTTGGGGTTATTGGTGGAGTAATTATTAGAAGAAATTTAACAAATTTTCTTTCTAAACGACTTTTTTAGGTTATAATTGTAATCCTTACAACAGCAACGATTGTAATTTCTGAACATTTTATCTCATACTATATTCTTAAATACCGTATAAAAATTGCAGTGGATCATCTGCTTTTGTTACTTAGATGTTATGGTTACTTTGTAACGATTGTACTTATGCGAATTTATAGTCCGGTAACTTGTTGATTTATAAAATTTAATTTCAATTATAATGGTTTCGCTTAGTATTTAGCAAAACTAGCTAAGGTATTGACGGATCAGGAAATTCATAGAACCAAAACTGAATATCTCAATGCGTATATTTTGAAAAGTTACACATTGGCTTTTTTTAACAGCTATATTATGACTTTTTATAATTGCTTTGTGAAAGAAAGTATGTATACCAATCCGGGTGATTACAAAATTTTCCATAAATATTTCGGAATCGGCGCGGTTTTATGTCCACCATCTATGGGGTGTTATGGAAGAATATTCTTAATGACGGTTTTTAGTATATTAAAAAGTTACATCTTGATGTTCTTTTATAAAAGTTACCTTGTTGAGTAAGTATTAATTCGTTACATCGAGATTTTACTGTATTATTATTTTTAAGGCTTCTTATTATGGGTGTTAAACACCTTTATAAAATCATTTATGAAGAAATAACTTTAAACTACGATCGAGGCCCAGAACTTCCTCAATGGGAAGAGGAATATAGCTTGAAACCGATTAGTTCGATTTTTTTCGCTAACGCATTTACGAAAAGAAGTAAATTAAGCAATCTTTTTAAAACAAAAGTTTATTTAATTTTCTTTTCAGTACTGGAATATGGATTGTTAACTTTTTACAGCGCAACAGTTCCGGTGCTTCCCGGACTCGTATTACTAAACAATATCGTTGAGCTAAGATTAACTGCGATGTCACTTATTAGACATTCGAGAAGGAATGTTCCAAAACGAGTTCTAGGGTTGGGATCGTGGAATAATGTTTTACAATTTGTTACAAGATTGAGTTATCTAATAAGTGTAAATTTCATTTTATTATTTGCTTTGAGACAATTCTAATTCTGATTGTTTAGGGTGCTTTAATATGTTTTACATCCACATTTGTCCATCGAGCCGTTTATTACTTCAATAATAATTGGTCCATGAAAGGTTTCGTACTTGATACATTAACTGGTGAGATAATCAATTTTGACACATCAATTCCAATTTTAATCCTTAACTTATTGCAGCATTTTCAGTTGATGGATACACTGGTGAAATGAAGGAGAAATTACTGCGTCTGTACCCCAACGTAACTGTGTGTTACTTTTCCGGATTAAAAAATGATTATAACCAACCCAATCCTTATCAAAAATCTGACAAATTTTATCATTTGTTCGGTATGAAATTTTTTACGCTCGTTATTTACGTGGTAATTTTTTTTATTGAAAGTAGATATTTTAATGACACTAATCATTCATTAGCACATCGTTTATTTGATTAATTCCCTCCTGAGTTCTGGTATATCAAAAATGCCATATATTGTTCAGCAATACGAAGCTTACGACACCATGTTATTAAGAACTGAGAATATGGAGAAAATAACTGGAGGGAAAAGTAAAAAAGTTTAAAGCAGCTTAATTAATTAATTTGTTATAATAATTTAGAAAATATATAATTTTTTTTAATTTAAATTCAAATTTAAAAAATGTTGTCAGCACCATCTAACGGCGAAAATACAAAGCTTAAAGAAAATAATATTAAAATTTATTGTTCATTAAGTTAATTTTATAAAGTAATAATTTAATTTAGAACAAAACATTTTTAATTTTCTTTTTAAAAATAAACTAATTTATTATTAATTATATTTATTAAGTTATTTTATCGATAAGTGGTCCAGATGTGCAAAAGATGGCGTAATAATCATCTGTCATTATTTTATCTTGTCAGTATACGTGAGGTTATGTTCGCGTTCACATCAAAATGAAGGTTAAAAAGTTTCACAAGTAAAAAGAAAATGTGCCGTTTTAAAACGATGTGAGAAGTAAGACTTTTTCGTTTAAATTTAAGAAGATGTCGACACACGACGACGATGAAATCGAGTGAGTGCTGGTGTTTTTCTAACAATAATATTAAGGGGCCAAAAATCGAGCGCTTCCGGTGCATTAAATTCTGGGGTTTTTATTTTGGGTTTTTACAGCAACATCGATAATTACGACTGTTATGGACAAACACCGCCTCGGACACGAATTTCGAGGAAAATACGAGAGAGGAAACAGCGTGACAGCTACGGGTATTATAAATACTTGTCTATCTCTTTGTATATCTTTAAAAAAAATCAAATGGTTATCGCGTTAAATCATTTTTATCTGTATTTACTCGTTTCTGCTCGTAGCACTTGTCAATCGTTGTTTTTACGATAAATAATTATTCCCGCTTAAAAAGTTTGCTTAAGAAATGTGCTTATCCTTTTTTTAGGGTGTTCTAATTTTAATTATTGGTGTTGGCTAGTTTTTACTCGAATTACGTTGCACACGAAATTTCTATTGACGGTATTTTAGGTCTTGTTTATAAAGTTTTTTTAGAAAGTGTTCTTGGTAAGCGTATTTTCCAAACATGTTTATTTGTAAGAGTCATTACGTGTGCATAATTACCGATTACGTTTAAAGAACTTGATACTTTTTATTCGGTTAGTGATTAAAATAGTTTAGAAAATTGATGCCAAAAAATTTATTCTCATAAAAAAAAGGTATTTTACGCAGAATATTAAAAATAAATGTGAGGAAATTTCTATTTTGAATTCATTATATAAATCAAATGATAATTTGGGATTCTTTATTAAAACTTTGGTGAAATTTAATGAGGTTTTAAAGATTCAAAAATTATTCTTACGTGAATTCTAATATGTGTATATACAGGTGTTCAATAGTCAAACTTCATTTGGAACAGCACGCTTGTTTAATAGGAAACACCAGGTTTATTTCGGAACAGTGTTGCCAGATGAAAAAAATTAAATTCACCAGATAAAACGAAAAAAGTCACCAGATTTTCACCAACTATTTTTAAGCCTTGATAACCTTTTTTTTGCTTTACATTTATTTATTACCAACAATTTTTGTTAATATGTACACATGTACATACTACTTACTATACTACGTACCATCAACTTACAGCAATAAAAATTAGAAACGGTTACATATTTATATTTTATTGAAGAATAACAACAAAACAAGAAGAACAACAAACAAGAAAAACAACAACGCTAAACCTTAACCTACAGTTCATTATTATACATATTACTATTATGTTTTTCTACTACTTCTTTAGTAATACAAAAATCATAGCAATTACGTTCATCCATTAATCTTTTACTATGTAAAATCCCACTTAACGTTCTTGAAGACAAACGGTTTCGTAATTTTGTCTTGTTTAAATTTATAGTGCTAAACTGCCTCTCAACGCATGCGCTGCTATGAGGTAAACACAAAATAATTGAAAATAATTCGTTCATTTCTGGAAAAAGGAGTGAGCCATCTCCCCGTTGAGAGGTACACACACCTTTCCAGAATTCTTCAATTTCTAAATTAAAATTGAATTCACTTGAAAATTTTAACGTTCTAAACTCTATATCCAAACCATTTAAATTTTCTATTGAGTGCGGAAATTTTGACCCTAAATCAGCAATGTTATCAGTTTGACTTATATTTTTTGGATTTAGAATTGAAGCAAGTTTTATTACTTCCACTTCTCTCGAATTGAATGGAAAACGCTTAAAAATTTGGTGGGCTCCTTCTATATAAAAGTGAAGACAGTTAAGCATAAATTTATGCTTTTCAGACTTATCCCTGATTAAATTTTTTTGTAGAGCTGAAATGACCTTTGGTCCAAAATATACCTTTTCTAGTGGAAGATAGTTTTCAGGGTTTCTGTACTGTAGTATTGTTAAATCAGTATTTTTTAAATATGCTGGTTTTATGTAAAAGCTAAGCAATAAGTTATAAGCGGTAGACATTCTAGAATAAAGGACCTGAATTTTTGGCTTTTCAGATTGAAATTCTAAATTTAGGTCTGTAAAAATAGGTAGTACATATTCCAGAAATTCAAGGTATAGTTTATTTATGGGTTGATCAAGTAAACTGTAAATATTAGCGGCGCTTGATGTACCGTCATAAACTTCACTTATAAAATACAATTTAAGAGCCTCATATTGCACCAAAAGTGTTGCTTGTAGAGAAAGCCATCTTGTTTGGGACGGATGTAATAGTTTATGAGGTTTAATATTTAAGAAAATTTGAAATTCTTTAAATTCGGATTGTCTTTTAAAACTATGCTGCATATAGGAAAATAAATTGCGGATTAGTTGCTCTACTGTGTCTGGTATTTTATTGCAGGCATGGGATGCACATAAGGCTAATGAATGGCATATGCATTTCATAATAAATAAGTCAGGTATATGTTCTTGAAAAAGGGTTTTTAAAGAATGATGCCCGCCCATAATTGTATTAGCACCATCTGCTGCAAACCCGACCATGTTTGTTTTATATGGTATATTATTCTGATTAAAAAAATCTATTATAACATTAAACAAATTTTGGGCTGTTGCTTGTTTAACAGGAAAAAGGCCAAGAAATTCATCTTTGATATTAAAGTTTTGATTAATTCTAACAACTATTGCTAAATTTTTTTCATGTGATATGTCTGTAGACTCGTCTACTAACACGGAAAATTTATTTAATTTCATTTTTTGAACAATATTTTCAAAATTAGTTTTTCCTAAAACATTATTAATTATTGCTGTACACTTACTTCGATTACAAGACATTTGACTAACTTCTTTTGGTTCAATCCTAGATGTACAAATAGATTTTGTAAGTTCGGTTAAATGATCGGAAATATTTATTGGAAGGTTGTGTTCAGCAATAAATGCTGCAATCCGAATTTCGTTTTGTTTTAAAATATTGCTATTGCTAATAGTGAAAGATTTTTGTGTTAATGTTGGCTGTTTAAATAATGAATCCATGTTAAATATGTGTTTTCTGGAACTATTATGCTTCTTCACTGCAGCAGAGCCTCCAATGTAATCTTTATTACACATTTCACATTTAAAATAATGCTTGCCAAGGTTACTTTCTTTAATCCATTTTTTGTATTCTTCATGCGCTTCCCATTCAACTCGATATTTATGAGCATAAAATTTTTTCCTTCTCTTTGTTTTGTTCGCTGTTTCTTCCTCCGTACTTGAAGATGTTTCTTTACCGACCGTTTGAGTCACATTTTCATCTACTCCAAATGTGCTTGTAGATGGTTGAGGCGAGGGAGGTTTAGGTTCATCTTTGTCCTTTATCAATAAAAACTTTTTCATCGTGCGTACTTCTAGCGAGAAAAATAATATAATTCGTCAATGATTACACAAAGGATAAATATTAATAAATAACTATAAATTTGAGTTACTTACCGGTATTTTTTTGCAGAATATACAAATAAAAATTAATGCACCTTAACAATCACTGTATTAACTTTTACTAAAGTGTAAAGAGAATGGATGAGTAAATCGGAATATTATAGCAATAGGTAATTCCCCGAAGTTCCTAACATAAACGTAAAAATATTTGATATTTCGGAGTATCACTACGAGATGTCAGCCCAAGGAAAGTTTTACGAAAGTTTTACAAAAAATGTATACATTGTGGCCGTGATGTTTTTTTTTATCGGATACCTTTTTCGAAATTTCGATTAAAAAATGAAAAGTTAAAAAATCACCAGAAATGTGAATTTTTTCTAAAGTTTTCACCATTTCACCAGATCGCGAAAAGATCACCAGATGTGGTGAAATTTCACCAGATCTGGCAACACTGTTTCGGAACCTCCTAGAAGTAAAAATGTATGAGTTATCTTGTTTCGATATCAACTCTGAAGACACCGATCTGAGCAAATCATTTGGTTGATCAGAAACAATGGATGGACTTATTGAAGGTGATGTCAAAGTGATATCAGACGCTGTGGGGATTATAGAAGTATTCTAATGCCAAGGGTTATCCAAGTAACACATAATTGCACAAAAAAGGTCGTCAAATAATAGGTTTCTTCATAGGTAGAAGGATAATGAAGCTTGGTTTAATGTTCAATCATTGTATCTTCATCACTGTTGCTTGGCTCACTATTTGGCGTTTTGCAGTTTACACGTACAGCTTTTTTTCTTTTTACATTCATGTATTCATATCCTACTAATACATAATGTCCTCATTTAACCATCTCAAACCGTATCTGGATTCGCCCGAACTTTTCATCCTAAATATCCTTTGCCTTGCCAACACTTCTTCCTATATTAATATTCTTACGCCCCACATAGGGGTATTTCAGCATTATACGCGGCCAAAAGTGAATCTCACAAAATTAGAAAAACCTTTAACAGGTATTTTTTTATTTTATTGCAATATTACTTTTTCAGAGAAGTTTATGTTCATTAACGTATTAGTTACGGTATGGAGATAGATACGGTGTCGTTTCTTATTAATATCGCAACTTTAGAGTATTGAGTAGTAGATAATCAAAAAATTTGGTGCGGATGAACAAAATCTCAATTTTTTCCTACAAAAATATCTGAATATGTGAATGATGTTAATGTATTACAAAGCAACATTATACATTAAAAATTATATGTAAATTGGGATGCGATGGATAGCAGCAATCACAGTTCAAGCAAAAATTTGACGAGGAAGCTGAGTCAGATGCAAATATTTTTCAGAGCTGCTTTGCACCTGTGCGATTAGTGTGTGGCAAAGACTCTCAAAGAGTACTATGGGCAAATCCAATACCTTCTTCTTCACGATTCTGCCGCCCCATTAAATTTCGTTTCATGAAAGAGAATACCGATGTCACAAATGAAGAGCTGAAATACGTCCAAAATTCCATAAACTGTTTAATCGCAACTCAGGTTGATATTGATGGAAAGAAGTTTTTCGTTCATAATGACTATGGTTGACGGAAAAGTCTGCAACTGCTACATTTGTGGTGGGACTTCAACCAATTGAATGTCAATTTTAAATGCAAGGATAAGATTTTTCGAAAGCATTCTCAATTTGGTATACAAATTTACTCCCGTAAAAAAATACACAAGGAAAACAGAAAAGGAGAAACAAATGGAAAAAGAGAGGAAAATAGAAATACAGGATAAATTTCGCAAACAAACTGGTATGTTAGTGGATATGCCAAAAGCAAATTCCGGTAATACGAATAATATCAATACGAGCAGGCATCAGTTACGAGTTCATTTATAGGTTGAAAATCATTCTA